ACGTTGGGCTCGGACAAATGCACACGGCACAAGTATGGATACCTTTACGACTTCCTGTTCAAAGAGATCCGGTATCAGAAACTAAATATTCTAGAAATTGGACTGGGATCTGTCGAGGACAAACGGTTCAAATCTCAGATGAGCAAATGATACACCCCTGGAGCGTCCCAACGAGCATGGCGCGAATACTTCCCTAACTCCCAAATATTCGGAGCTGATATCAATCCCGATATTCTGTTCCAAGAGGAAAGGATCAAAACATATTACGCAGACATTACTAAAAATGGCACTTTGCGTAAGATGTTTGATGAAATTGCGGTACCCCTAGATATTTTCATTGATGACTCACTACATGAACCTGGTCCGCAGAAAAATCTCTTCTCAGTTGCTTTTGAAAAAGTGAAACCGGGAGGATTTTACGTCGTCGAAGATATTATGATGCAGACACTATGTGAGGAACACTATCAGCATTATATCGATTTACAGTTGAAGGACTTTGCATTTATCCGGAGAGAAAAGTTTGTTAATGATGGCATACTTTCTGTTGTCAGAAAAGAAAAAAAAACATAAATAAAACTATTATAGCAGGCAAACAGGAAGAACCACACACTCGTACTATTTTTTACTATACGAAAAACATAAACTACAAAAAGTTGACGTCTACAACTCATGCCGAGAATGGAGTGCATTCTTGCCAATGCCGCTTGGGTTTGATATTTGATTGCTTCTTAGTCATGACATGAATGATCTTTCCAAGAATTTGTACTAAACGCGGCAACCTCACTCCGAAATTGATTCATTGAAGTCATATGTTCAGTATTTAATATTGAATTATTATGTGACCAAAAGACAATTTAGACTACGAAATGCACAATCATTGAGTCTTTCTTTAATTTCTCTTTATGATACTCGATACAATTTTCCGTTTTTTAAAAATAGTTTTGGTTTACGCTAGTCAACTCATCGCCCTAAAAACAAGAGTAGTAATTAACAAATCTCTGACCAGATTTTTATGGTAAATGAGACTGCGACGTCTCATATAAACGGCTTATTAAGTATAACTTTTGTGGCGTACCATTTCGTTTAATTTTCATTATTATCCGTAATGAGACAAAAGTTCAGAAACATTCTGAACCAAAACTTGTAGAACATATAAAATAAACCAACGAAACTTAAGGTCAATTAATGCTTCTTGGGAAATAAGTTTAAATTGAAAATGTGTTCGAAGTAATATTTTGGTTTGTTCTTTTGCTAATGTTTTCTGAATACAACTGCAGTCGATTACGCCTAAATTTATGTTTTTTCAAGCTTTCATCTAATTCCTTTCATCACATCACGCACAAAATGAACACAAAAAACGTCACAAAACTGACACAAAATGGAGGGAGAAAATTTTTTCTTTTGGAAGGAATTACGCCGCACAGAAATGAACTGCTTGCATAGAATCCTGGTGCTTTTGTTGTGCCGGCCATTAAAATGGAGAGAAATTCTGCGTTTGGGTGTTTTTTCCCAAGCAAAATCATGAATCACTAATAATCATCGGAATGGTTCATCTGATATATCAAATAAAAGCTCTTTGAATCTTGATTCGAATGACATATAAAAAGTTTTTTTTAAAATGTTTCAGTGCTGAGAAAAAGCGTTGAAACACTTTTAATTTCGAACGAGTAAAGCAAACGAGCAACTTCGTTATATGAAAATCTTAATTTTGTTTAGTTTTTTAGGCTAGAAAAAACTTGAAATTACAAAAAAATATAGTTTTGGAAGTTTGTTTTCGCGCTTCCTTGGCAATACAAATTCTTCTACGAAATTATTTTTTAGTTATGTCAGTTATGTCAAATTCATTAATTTCGAAAAAGAGCTAACTTTTAAAGTTTTTTATGAATGTGCTCCGAGTATTCTGTGTTACTTGCACAGCAACCGGCTATCCTTGTGGAAGAAATAAAATTGGCTGAAAAAGACTCAATGAAAAGTCGAAACTAAATTCTAAACACGATTTAAAGCAGTCCACGATGATACATTTTTCAACTTCAATGAACTTTTCTCTGTGCTACTCGATATTAAAAGAAAAAGAGAGGAAAAGCTGCTCTTTGCCAACAAGCAAAAAGCAACAGCAAAAAAAATAAAACTAAAATATCAGAAACAAAAGCAAAAATGAGCCCTCGAAACAAGAACACGCCTATAGATCGAGTTAGATCGCGGCATTACAAATAAAATTTCAACCATTATAGCAGTGATGTATTACAACTTTTTTTTCCACAAAATGACCCTAACTTTCAACGCAAGCTCCGTTCGGATAAATAAATATCGAATCGGCAGATCTCCACCACCGCACATCAAAATCAACAAATCGACCAAAAGCTAAAAAAACCAGGAACACGGATTTTTTCCGATTAAGCCTTTCCAATCGATGAAGACTTGAAATATAGAATTACATAACAGTTGTGTTCCAAAGGAAATAATTGGAAAATCAGCTTCCCCAATCCATAGAATTTGCGATTAAGAGGATAGAAATCAGAATTACCCAACGGAAAGTTTAGAAAATGTTTGCAGACTACAGAATTGCAATCCAAGACCTCTCACGATTTGCCATTTTTCTGTCGCTACACGAGTATCATGTCTTATTTTTTGATAGATCAGAGTACTTAAACGGATTTACCCATTTCAAAAATAAAAAATGTTCTTTGTTTCAAAGCGTTGTTTGACCATTCAAATGGAGATCGTCTGAGAGATGATCTGGATGCAAAAAAAGCCCTGTATACAGTACACAGCTCAATTAAATTGCATTTTGGAATCATAATTGTTCATTCGAAACTAACGATCTTAGCTAGTCTCTCACGTAAGTTTTTTCAACATACGAAGGAACTCGTAAGTTTATTAAGCTCTTAGACATAAACCGAATGAAAATCCATTACTCTATATGACTCAACTAAAACTGTCTAAGTACACTTACCTACCATGTCAACATTTGGGCCATGAATTGCAAGTACTAACGTAGTAAGCAGCTAAAACATGAAGACAAATTTCGTTCGATTCATCGGTTGAGAACTAAAAAATGCAACTTATGTACCGTGACTGTTGCAATCATGATTGTAGCGTTGACAAAAATCAATTAAGGTTCCTGCCACTAACCAAGACGGCAAGAATTAGTTAAAATTCACTTTCGAATCTCAAGTCGATCACATTTTTGACGTCGATTCCGTTTTACTAAATGGAGTGTAAATTACCTTCTTTTTCGCAAATGCATTTGTGTTGAAGTTGAAATACAACAAAAATCAAAGTGCAAAAGATCAATTTTGGAAAAAGCGGAAAGACTAACATGTTCTTCTCGACACCGAGAAAACTATTTAAAAGTATATTTTGCAATAAGAATCTCGAATGAAAAAGCTTTATGAAAATACCCCGCATATAATAGCTTACCAGTTTACTGTAAGGTACCTTAAATTGCGTATATAACTTGCTCGGCCAAAGTGCCTATTTTTGTTCCAAACGCAAAGTTTTTTGTATTCGGCTAAAATTAAGTTTTTTTTTAATTTCTCCAATTAACATCAGGTACCACAAATCAATGTCAGATGGGACGACAACGCAAAAAAGCAGCTTCATAAATTGAAATAAGAAAAAAACAACAAATAAGCCTAAGTTAGTAAAACTTTACTACGTATTGGCTCCGAACCGTGAAAAATCAAAATTGAGCGTGAACAAATTTTACGACTTTTTCGTGAAAAAAAAACAAAAAAAGTCAGCAAAACCTATCTAAGAGTCTTCACTACGTTCATTACTCTTAAACAGTTGTCAAACACCAGTCACAAATAAAGCAGTTACATACACCAATAAATTGCCAATGCGATGCAGCATAGTGGCAACAAATACAAACAGACGCAATTTTGCATGTAATAAATTGGAATAAAACAAATTAAAGGCATCCACACTAAGTTGCATGTAATAAATTGCAAAGCATAAAGCCACATTATGTATAAATTATGCATAAAAAAATTGCAAGATATTGATTTAGAAAACTTCTGAAATCGATTTTTTATTACTGTATTGATATTTTAGGCAAATAGCTTTTTTCGGCTCATTTGAACAATGAGAAATGCATCAACTGTTTTAACTTAGTACTAATTGAATGTCAAAGCATATGCTATCACAAAACCTAAAGGTGCCACCAAAAGTGACACCAACATTTGCGACTGAGGCTAGAAAAAAAAAACAGAATAGTCGTACTATAAAACTTACGCTCTCTAAAGTTCGCAAGTGCAAATAATGCATTTCAATTGCAATTTGATCGAAAATTGAAAAAGTTTAAATAAAATTTCGGTCCCGAGAAAAACCGATCTGAATTATTTGCTCTCAGACGAAATTAGAGCTAATCCACACTTGAAATTCATTCATTCCAAGGTAAAAATGGTTTAAAAAAAATTCAATGTTTCGTTACAAACTATTGGTGCTTTGTTCTACTCTAGTTTTAAATCAGCCGCTTCTCCAAAAATAAACAATGGAAATTTAAAAAAAAAAAAAAAAATTTTCGCAAAATTAATTGCGATCAGAACCTGCGCTACTTGTTATTCCGACCACCCCTAAAGGTAAGCTTTTTCTGACCAATTTAAGGTATCTTTTTTAGGTATGAAGAAAGCTCGGTGGGGATCAAGTGTAATATAATATATAATTTCGTCATCGGATTCTAAAAAAAATAATCCAAAAAGTTCTCCGAGTCGACTAAATTAGACCAAAAAATATGCGTGGCTGACCTCCCCAACTAATTTTGCTACAATTTATCATTTTTAAAGCGATTATTACTTCTCATTCTTGTTATATTCTGTTATTCCCAAATTCAGCTGCCCTTTACTAAAAAAAATAACCAAAAAATTATAGAAAAAAAATCCATTATTTTCCAAACTTTTCTCTTCATGTTTGAATGTCTTTTCTTAGATCATAGTGGCCAGAACATTATGTGCTACTTGCACATCAACTTCTTCTCCTTGTTGCTACTTGAAATCTGGTTCAATAAAAAAGAGGACAAAATTGAATTTAAACTATTTTAATGGAGAATATAACTTATGACACAGTATAATGACGAACACCAAAAGCAATATATCATATATTATACAAACAAATTTATAGTTTGTCGAACGATATGATTTCATTTCCTTATATACAGAGCAATTAACCATTATAATTTGACTATATAAATAAAAACATCTTCGTGATTATCTTCGACAACTCATTTTTTTTTACAATGTTACATTGTGAAACCCTATACCAGCCATGGCAGTTTTCAAGTGTTCCTTGCTTTCAACTTGTAAATCTTTATACAGGTCTAAATCTTCTCCGTTATTTGAAATCAGACCCATTTCTTGCATGCATTTCAACAGCAGGTACGCTTTTTCTGCTTGTTGAGTCGACAGCAACAGCTGCAATGCTTTGTAAAACTGATTTGTTGAAATGAACACCAAAATTGCCAGGTTTTTCTGATTGATCTGAGGCGACTGCAGAAATTCTGTCCACTTTTTCACAATCTCCTGGTAGCTCTCTGAATCCTGTAGAGATATTTTTGCCAATGAGATTGATTCGTCCCAATTGCCATAGCTCTGTAGGTATCTGCAAGCGTCCAGGTAGTTCTTGTACATGCAGAGGATTTCGACTCCGGCGTCCAGGAACCCACTTGCAATCATATTTGTGGCAACAAGTTTGGAGATGTCCTCGTTGTGCTTCTGGGATTCGCCTGTGCTGACGATGAGGTTGATCAGACAAGTTTTGAGACTGTTCACGTGGAATGATGAGAGTGCGGGATCAGTTGATAGTAGCAGCACAGAAGCTTCCTCGGCATCGCCAAACTAAATAGCCAGCAATTAGTTAAAACCTGCCAAGGATTTAGAAAATCTGAAGATTGTCAATTTTAGTTTCTTCAGTGCTATCTACAAAAGATCCTTAAGCCTCATAATTTTTTTCTGCATTTTAGCAAAAAAAAAATAGTGAGAGGATCATACTAAGCCGCATTCCCTAAACTGAAGAATCTTAGTTCCCTTTGTAATTTCTGCATCTTAGCAGGTTATTTTGATATTAAAACTGACCTTGAGCAGATTGCGTGCGCAATGGTCCTTCAGTTTGGCTACAGAAATAGCCGAGCCGGCTGATTCGGTGTGAGCATGTCCCAACACATACTGTGCTTCCAGCATTGACTGCCTGTAGAGCTCATTGGGAACTACATAATCACTCGCTGAGCAGTCTAGGAACTTGGACAGGAACTCTGATTGAGGGTCTTTCTCTGACGATGGTTTCTCTTCGTCGTCGAGACTGAGCAGGATCTGGTCAATCTCTTTGAATCGAGTGAGGTAGAATTTCGCCACATTCCAAAACTGCTCATCCCAGCGATCGCAAAATATCCTGGAAAATAGATATAATTCTCATGATTTACACGAAATTGATCATTACGAGACCAAGCTGTGCACTGGATGGCGCACAATTTTGTGTCTCTATGTTCCTGGATTCCAGAGACAAGTCTTTAAACATGTTAAAAAATTGTCGGAGCAATCAAAGAGAATGCAAGAACCTAAGAAGAACAAAAGGAGCGTCCTTGTTGCGGAATCGGCTTACAATTCACAAAATGCACAGTTTGGCCTCATGATTAAATTCGAAACCGGTTTAAGTTACGCGCAAATAAATAATCGTAAGCAGGTGAAGTTTCGGTTCAGCATGATCAATTTTAGCTATTTGGTGGCCCAAAATTTAGATGATAGCAAGTTTATTCATATCTAAAACTATCAATGGGAAAACAAACCTGGAAACGGACAAGCATCTCTCCATGGTAGACGTACTGCACAACCCCTTCAACACACCCAACTGCAAGAAATTGATCTGTTTAGCCAACTCCACATTCGACTCATTCTGGACATCCACTTTCTCCACCTCCGTCTCATCTTCGTTCCACTTAAGAGTGCCATTGTCAGTGAACAACAGTGCGTACTTCAGAGCTATTCCAGTTTTGGACGGCCACAGGGAGGGCATGAAGGCTTCGACATTCTTCACGCTTGTAGTTTGGAAGTTGAGGTATAGATCAGATACCCTAAATAAGCATAACAATATTGAAGTGTTCGGCTAATTAATTTGACCTCACTTATAATTGATCTACTAATTGATCTACGACTTAGTAGTATCAGCGAATATACAAACTCAACGAAAATAAGCTGTCAACTGTTTGGCTTGCAGTTTCAGAGCCTTGAGTAGTTAATTTGATCAAAGTCGTTTTTCATAAATCGTATTTCTTAAAAAAACGCAGGACGTGTAATATTTCATATTTCTATTATCAAAGTTATGAGGACTGTTAGATTACGCAAAAATAGCATTCTTAAAATAAAACGAAATCTAGCTGATAAATGATGTGTGCTCGAAAGCAAAAACAACCTCCCTATCATTGGAGTATTCCTTAAAATCTAAAAGTACTTTGATAGAAAATATCTTGAGCCCGCGGAGACGATAATCCACAATGCGCAGCGAGCGAGAATATATTGAGAGTTCAGAAATTCAGATGCAAAACATGATATTAACAAGAACAAAACTGCTTGTATCAGGGCGAAGCCCTGACTGCTCCGACTGCCTTTTAAGGTCTAAGAAGCAGTAATAACATCAAAAAATTAATTGTATTAAAATAAATTGAATTTTTTCAAAATAAAATTTGAGATTTTTTCTGAAAATCATCCCCCCACACGCCATATAAAAAACAAAGTGATAACGAAGCTCCTACTAAAAAATTAATTATGGCAAATAAACTTATTTCGACAAAGTTGGAACGATTTCTAAGACGGATTAAATCTCCGATTACACGTTAATAGTGCGAAATAAATCGCGCGTTAATTGTCCCAAATTGGCTAAAATCGAAATCTTTAAACCTCCATAACTTTGAAAAAAAATTGTGAAATATCTTTTCAAATTTAAGCTCAAGACAATACTTTTTGAATGATATTTATAAAAATCGGTCAAAACTGGCTAGTGAAAAAGTCGAAATTTGTCTGAAAAAAACTACCCTGAGCACAAATATTCCGTTACTTTCGCTACGAGGGTTGGAACAAAAAGTCTATACTCAGATTTGATAACGCTTGCTTGTTGCAAGTGTTATGAGAGGAGCGAACAATCTATTCGATCGTGGCTATAGAAAAATAATGAGGCCAAAAACAACAGATAAATTTTTCTATTTTATTCGCATGGGTTCATACTGAATCCGAGCACGTCGAAGAATTAGCTAAAATAATCCATAAAAGGAGCTTTTAAAATAATCCAAAAAAGCTGCGGAAGAGGAAGAAGCAAAGATCTGTTTTGTCGGACCAGAACCAAATCAGGACAAAAATTTCATCACTATTGAATTTTTAGCAGAGAACACAGGCTTAGACTCTTTATTGTCGTTGGCAATTATCTACGAAAAAAAAAACTCGATTAAGGCTGAAGACCAGATTTGGGCTTAATTTAAGGCTGAGACAACTCGTCATCGACTGAATAGCGCATATTCAAGATTCTTCGAGCTGACAGCGTTACAGAAACAAGTTAAAATCAATTGATGATGGTGAGTTGAACTTGAGAGTATAATCAATACGGTAAGTTACTTTTTTCTTTGGAGCGGTCTCGAAAGAAAGTATATTTGGTTTAAGTGACATCAAATTCAAAATATTGACTAGACTGAAAAACTATTTCTCTTTTCATAATTCATATGGGAGGCATTTCATATGGTTTGATCATTGAATTTTTCAAATACCCCTTTTTAAGTCATGTTATCATACCATTAATTCAACTCAACCTAACATATTGCTCGAACCTGACAGTCCCATCCGAGAAAGCGAGTACTGGTTCCGATGACGTGGCCCAATCGGCATCTATCACGTGACCCATGTTCGTCTTCTGTCTAAGACTGCTGATATGGGAGGTGTCGCTGATATCCCAGATATCTATTCCGTCCACCAAGAGAATCAGAAGAAAACTGTTACCCTTGCCAGGTGCGAACTTCAGTTTTCTCACTCTTCCAATACGCGGCACATTGATACCTAAAGATTTTACAATCACAAGTCCTTTGATTCGGTTTTGTAGCGCGAATAAGTCAGAGTATAAATTCACTCAAATGCAAAAGTTATCACACATTTTATCGTTTTTTAACATAGTTAAATTGCCTGCATAGTTTAACAATTTCACGAACTGATTAGTTTTGCAAATAAATAAATACATTCAGAAGAAAACGGGATTCCCGATGAACATTTTAAAGAATACTGCAAATCATGCAGGTAATAATCAAGAGCAGCACACAATTATCAGTTTTGAAAATTTGACAACCAAGCCACGACAAACCCAATAAACAAACCTGTAATCAGAGAAGTCAATTCCTCGTCATCTTCAATATAGGTGTAAACATAACAGAAGAAAACAACAAGGATAGCCGGTTATTTTTCAAGAAGCAACTTGTTCCATACACAATGATTGAAGTTAAAAAAATTGGAAATGAAAAAAAATCAAAAAAGGAAAAAAAAATTGAAGTCAATTTTTCTGCTGTTTTTTTTTTCCAGTGGAGGCAGATGTGTGATTAGTTTAAAGAGACGATTCAACAACTAAACCGAAATTGAAACTGCAATTGAATTGATGAAGAGTTCATTCACAATTTACTACCAACGTTTCATTTGTAAACTTCGTGTCATTGAGTCTTAAAAACGGCAAAATTCAAAACACAGTCACTCGACACAGACAAAAACTTTTTGATTTTTTTGGAGTTCCAATCACGACTCATAATTCTCTAATATGATACCTTAAAAACCTCCAGCTTTCCTTGAGGTAGCAATGGGCGAACAAAAAAATTGCTGAACTAGAGTTCTTTCCCATCACTTCATCACTTATGTGACCTGGTCAGAACAAAAACAAAGGAGAGTCGTACTTATATTCAAAACTAATAATAACACAGATGAAGCGGAGCTTCGCATCACTTGCGATACAACGGTAGCATACAGAAAATGAAACGGAAACAACTAAGTCGAAAAAACATAGTTGGGAAGCGAGCGTACAGAAACTGAAATCGAAACAACTTCGTCGAATAGTTGGATTTTTTTAGGATTAAATGAAAAATTCAATTTCAAAAAAAAATTGGAGAACACAACTACCAGTATCGAATAGGCTTTTAATTTCTACGGAGCGGCCACTAAGCCGTCAACTCGTGTGTAGATGCCCATTAAGCCGAAAACAAAAAACCATAGAAGCTATTTTCATTAAAACACTTTTATACACCAACATTCAAACCAGAACCAACCTGAATAATTAATTTTCAATAATTATCTAATTTTGTCCTTCAGACGAAACAAAACAGCTGACTAAGCGGATAAAACAAATCCAAAACCAAGTAGTCCAAACAAAGTTCTTAAGTTAGGGTTAGTTAATTGTTAAATTACAGGAGTAAATCAACAACACGAGTCGAAACCATGTAAGCCGAATGACCCCTTAATGATCCCTTATCTTAACCCTTCACTCAATCATAACAACCCAGAAGAAATTTCAACTTTGGTTTTTAACCACCACAAGTCCCTTTTAAAACACAACCACACAAATCTAATAACCAAGTTCCTCGCAAAAATCCCTCCCTCTAAAGTAATTTGTATACCGCCCGCTAAGGTCGACCCCACAGAAAAAGCTCTCCCCAGAACTACCCGCTGTAAGCTCTCCCAACTCCCGTCTGGTTACAGCCGGCTTTTAAACACATACCTCTCCCGACTAGACAACAAAGTTTCCCCACTATGCCCGGACTGTCACCTAGCACCCCACACTAGTTGCCACAATTTTAACTGCCTCAAGAATCCCTCCCCACTCACTCCCGCAGACCTGTGGCTTTGGCCGGTGGAAGTTGCGAATTTCCTTAGCCTGGAGACGGACGAGCCCAACCCGACCAACGCGGGCTAATGAAAGAAAGATTGCAAGCCGAATAAAACTTCATAGCATTTCATAGCTTTCATTCCCTCTTTTGAGTAGGGCTAGCAAATTTTTAAATAACAGGAATAAATCAACAGCACTTGCAACTACAACGAAAACTGCTTACAGCACAAGAAAAATCCGTGATTTGCTAACAAAGCCGACCAAACATGAGCATACAAAAAATGGTCCGACACCGCAATTTTTCTCGGAACAAAATATCATTTTCATAGATAATGAAAAAGAATGAAGTCCAGCCGGGACTCGAACCCCAGACCTTAAGACGCAAAGCAGCACCGTTACTTTAGACCAAGCGGTAGGGAGGCTGGCAGTTGTTACAGTTCAATTAACATAGTCAGGATACAGTAGAAGAAGAGTCAATGAACGCAAGAAAACAAAATACTGACTTGTTTTTTGGATAAAATTTCAACTATCGAAATCCAAAGAAAAAAATATGAACTCTTTGAATTTAGAGAATTCATGATTCACATTTTTTTGATTAAAAAAACTAAATTGAGACAAGGATAGCCAGTTGCTGTGCAAGTAGCACAGAAGGTTCCGACCAGTCTTAAAAAATACAAAAACATTTTTTTTTCAAAATAATGTCGTTTTTTTTTCCGCATGGTGTGATAAAAAAATCTGAACAGAAAAGAACATATTTGACAGCCATAAAAAGGCCATTCGAAAAACAGTTTTTGAAAAATTAAAACCAAATTTTTTTGCAGAATTTTTCGAATTTTTAACTTTGTTTACAAAATGGAGCTAAAAAAACTCCAAAAACTACTTTTATTTGAGTACAACTAAGTTTTCACGGCTTAAAGTAAGCTTAAATAAGCTATTGTAAGCCTACACTGTCACACCATATTAGTTCGAAATTAGACCAACAATGAAAAATTTCAAACCTGTTTTTCTCGACAGTGAAAAAATTTTGAAATTTTTTAAAATGTCGTTCGAACCACAAGGGTTTTCATATGATATATCACTCGACCCATTCCAATCAAAAACTGAATGACACCCCAATACAAATTTTCTCCCCATTTTCAATGGTCGGAACAAAAACCAGATCCATTTTTATTACGCAGGGAAATCTGAAAATTAAAATCCTCTTTCGGAACTATAAATCGATCACGTTTTTCGTGATCTTTACACTTTTGCTGCTCGATAGTGGAGTTTGTCTTCCTTTAAAAAAAACGAACTTGAAAAGTCAAACCGCGAAAAATCAAATTTGAGCATGAACAAACTTCATGACTTTCGTGACAAAAAAAATCAAACCATCTTTATAAAAGACTTCACAACGTTCATTGACTCTTAATAAAGCTAGTTCGATTTCTTGCAGATTTGAAAGTTGTTTAGGGTGGAAAATCTAGTAACCAAGACACTTGATCTCGCGAGTGTAATCAATAGAACTATTGGTATAATTCTCTAAATTCAGTATGGTATCTATACAAAAAATTTAAAATTACATCAACTTATAGAAAACAGAACCTAATACCCAAGCAATAACCCAACCCAGCATAAGACATTTATTAGATTTGCTTTTCTTACGGTAAAACAAACTTTTAGCAGCCCCGCTTTTATTCAATTCTCTTAACATTGATCCATTATATCAGCTAATCATCTTACCTCGAGAAACCTTGTTCTTCAAATCCCACAGACTAACACCGCCTTCATTGTCGCCCAGGGCCAATACGTCCCCCTTCCAAGTAACAGCCGTCACATTACCCATGCCACCTTCCGGGGGCATCCGGCTCGCATCCTGTAGAACTCCAGCGTCTACGGTTAAGTGTCCGAGCAGTCCAGCTGAGTTGGTGAAGACGAAGCTCTCAGTTGTCGCTGATTGGGCCTTGACTGGCTTCGGATTTTCCTGTTGAGTCGGCGAGGTGGATTCTCCGCCTTCATCGTTTGTTTTTGGCTCAGAAGTTTGTAGTTTTTTTGTCCTCGCAAAACGCGCATCTTCAGAAAACAGCCAAATTTTAAGCTAATCATACGCGGAAAACGCATAAAAACAGATATAGCAGAAACAAAAACTCAAAAAACATCGGTGAATTCATTAGAGCGAAAATTCAGACACGTAAGAAATTAATGTTTCATGCACAGAGGCGAAGAGAGCTTCGCGCCACTTGCGATACAACACGCATGGAAAAACATAAGTCGAAAAAAAATCCAAATGTTGAAAAAAACTAGGAACCAAAATATTCGTATGTCACGATAAAAAACAACTAGAAGCCAGCAAAAGCTGGTGAATGTGTTTGATATTGAATGAATTTCTATACTGGTGCGGCACGAAAAATGTGATTTCAAAAATTGGGAGGGAAGTTTTCGATAATATTCAAAAAAAAATTAAAACAGTCCAAAAATCAAAAATATCACCTTTCCGAGGGCGATAAATTTGATGTTAAAAATTTTGTGAGTGACACTAATGCAGAGGAGCTTCCCACTACTCATTATCTCCATTGTACCTACAAAATCATATTTGAGAGCAGGGGCGGGTTTAGGGGGGGGGGCGGACGCCCCCCCCCCCCCCCCCTCAGGGATTCGACCCCCTGCCGACCCAAAGGGTCCCCCCTTTGATACTTAGTCAGAAATCCATTTTTAGCCTACCGACCCTAAATTTTTTCTAAAGGCGCCATTGGCGCCAATATATACTAACTTTGAGGGCAAGCGCGCGCCAAAAAAAAACGCAATTTTTTGTCAAAATTTTTCAAGTGCCCAAAAACGGCTTTTTTTGACTGTTTTTTCAAAAATTTGCCTCCGGCGCTAAATATTTAGCCAAAATAGGGGCAAAACAGTGGTTTGGGAGAGCTCGAAAAATCAATTTGGTCAACCTAAAAAAAAGTCCAAGTCGTCAAAATTTTCGAATTTTTTTTGAAAATCCTAGATCCGCCCCTGTTTGAGAGGTTACTTTTCGAGAAAAGTCAAAAAGATTCACAATACGGTCAAAAATCAAAAACTTGACTAATCCAAGAGCCATAGCTTTGTGAAAAAAATTGGGCATAATCGCGTAAGCAGGGAGCTTTCCAAAACTGTTCTATTTATTGAAATCAGAAACTCAGATTTGGGAGGGGTAGTTTTCGAGAAAACAAAAAAAAAATCAGAAAAATGGGTCGAATATTCCCCCACAGACTTTTTCAAAGGCTGTAGACAAAGGATCACGTAAAAAGAGACTCTACGAGAGTATGCAGGCACATAGGAGACCTGAAAATCTTATATTGATTTCCTTTTTTTTGAAAATCAGTAGAAATTTTAGAGAAAAACTAAAATGTTTCCAAAAAATTTGAAAAGAATTTTTCAAAAGGTTAAAAAAAGAGATACCAAGAAACCGATCGGTAACCATACAACCACATTGAAAAGTGCGGAAATGAATGTTAAAATTTATTTCCCTTGAAGTGACCCAAAATTAGATCATTAAGCCGATGAAAAACCATGACCGATAACGCTATTGAGAAAAATTGAATAATTAAAACTTTGAGTCTACAAAATTTCTTAAGTGACGCACGGCAATTATGAGTCTTCATAATTGCTATGTGACGCAAGCCAATTATGACGCATTAGCAGTACCAGTCATTTTGAAAAAAAAAAAAAATTTACCATTTAACATTTCTCAATTTATAGAGCGGACGCATTTTAGCTAGTATACGAACAAGTTCATTAAAAACAAAGTGCTGTTGCTGTTTGTTATATAATAGTCTGTGTTAATATCCTTAACATTGTCTGTACTAAATAAGCTGGTTATTGATCAAAATGAACACTTTGAAAAAGAACAAATTTTGTCGCAACAATATTTGCGACCTAGGTAGGAAAAAAGAGATTTCATACTACAACACAAGCTTTGCTTGTGTAAACACTTAAAGCAACATTAAAGAAAAAAGCGCGCAGCCAAAAAAAACGATTCCAACATGTGACAACTAAGTCGACAACAGATAAGCAAAAAAACAATTGGCAGACAATTTTATTTGAAATAGAATATTTCCCGTTTGAAAAAGTCCTTGTCAGATTCAAACCCCTGACCTTTGCCGTCCCAGGCATATTCGTTAGCTCCAGGCTAAGTTGGCCGGGAACGCATGGAAGTTTGAACTCAGTATGAAAAAGATAGAAGCGCTCCAAGTGATTCTGTTAAATAAGTTGTTAACCTGGCAAAAAGTCTATATTCCGGTTTGAAAACGCTTGCTAATCTAATCGCAAACGTAATTAAAGTCAGGTCAATTTATTTTTCGTTTTCTATTGAATTTAAAATATTCACGCTATCAAAGAGACACTGAGCTCCCAAGTCGTCTTTAGATGATAAAAGAAAAAAAATTGCAAAATATTATATATATATCTTACTCGGACACCATGCAATCGCGGTGATCGGAGCAGTCGACGTCATTTTCACTTCGCGCAACATCCTCTTTGTCTTTACGTCCCAAATCTCCATCGGCTTGAACTTATACACAGCCACAAAATAATTCTTCCTTGGCGACACTCGAATCATAGACAGGGGTGAAACTGCATGACTGCTGCTCTTCGAGTATATCAACTGGTGAGTCTTTCCAGTTGAACATTCAACAAACACCAGTTCATTCTTGGCGTTATTCGAAGCAGTTCCAGAAATGATGACGGAGAAACTCAGGAACGAATCGAGAGAGCACCACTCTATTCCCGCGACAGAGCCTGTATGAATCGAGTACTCTTTGACTATTGAACCCGAATTCAGATCTATAAGATATATAATTCCGTTTCCGCCGCCGACTGCCAAAATTGGTTTATAATAGAGGAAATTTTTTGTTGTCAAAGGTGGGCACATCGACAAAACAAACGGAGGCGATCCCAAAAATGTGAACAAACCGCTCATAGCAAATTTCAACTGAACGTTATTAGAATTTTGTGCGACAAATTTGCTGTCTAAAAACAATCTAGAAGGAAGATACAAGTCTCTAAGATGAAGACCGTGGATTTTGTTCTGTTTTACAACTCCTCGGAGGGGCGCTAGAACGGTGTGATTTTTATCATCAGGCGTTGGGTTCTCTTGGTCACTTGTTGTATCAGATAGAACAATTCGATTCACTGACCAAAAGAAAACTCTGGAATCCGAAGAAATCACTGATATGTTTCTCTCGCTGCTTGGACATACAGCTAGGGCCATTACCTTGTGCTGCTTTGACAACCGTACTGATTCACTTTGGAGTCTGACATCGTATACCATAGATGCACTTTTTGAGCCTGTTTCTGAGTAACGAGGTCTTGCTACTCTCAAAGTAACATTACCGTTATTGTGTAGACAGTAGAACGCATCACGTTGATGACACGGATAAACATGAACAAACGGCGACAATGAGGAATCCAATGAAATATTGCACACAGGTAGTTCTATCTCTAAGTTGACGATACAAATTTTATGTGACTGAACAATCACGAAGTGGTCTCGCAACGTCGGCAAAAACTGCAGTTGTAAAATTGCATCATCTGAAGAAGGGTTCAAAGCAGGTTCACTGAAAACTGAAGACGAATCGCCATAAGATCTCATACCTGTAGCGCCCATAACGTTTGAAATCTGCTTGGAGAACGACCGGGTAGTTGATAGCATCATGCTGGAAGATGTAATACTGTTGGTCTCACTTGCTAGCGACATATTGGAAGGACTCTTCGTCGGCTTTAGACTTCCAGGAATCGGCAACTTCTTTCCATCACTTGAGGGTGCCTGACTTATCATGAAGTCGGTAACCAAAAGAATAAAATCATTTGACAGCATAAGAATTCTCGAAGAATCAAACGGGTCCAACGAAAACGAAAATATTTCAGAAGTATATGTTTTCTTCCACAGTTTGTTTCCGGTAGCCGCATTCCACATTATGAGTGCATATGACGGATGAACCGCAACAAGTAAGTCTCGCGTTGCACTCTGAAGAGAACTCAGCCATTCAATCGTGAGCACTGGCTTGTTACCACTGTCCGAAAACGTCGCCACTCTCGATCCGGCAGCAATGTCCCAAACAATAATTACGCCGTCCATATCACAAGATGCCAGCCATGATCTATACGGAACGTTAATGGAATGATTAAACGATTCTTGCTGCCATCTTACTCTGTGGACATTAGCATGGTGTCCCACTAGTGTTGTCAGCTGTTCTAGGGGTTCGGATACCAGAATGACGATGTTGGATCCATTGCCGAACGCTAGCATCCGCTGGGAACCCCAGTCGGCACATTGACGAGACGAGTTGGGAGGATGGAACCCAGTAATGCATCTTCGCATAACCTGCGTCATTTCTGATTAGAAGTACAGATGATTAAGTAAAACTTGAGCAGTTGGTTCAAATTCAAAGATTCCTTACATTCATTTCATGTCTATAAAATTTCAAAACGATAAAAAAACTATTCATTTGGTGATATTGAATCAATTCGTTGAGCAAACTTTTAGTTAAGCCGAAATTATCATTCTTCGATTTCAAATGTTACGCCGTTTAGATAAATATAACAAAGGGTCGAGCAATTAAACTATGCTCAGAATATTCAATTCAAATAGTCCATATCAATTTCGGTTCATTCCGCCAATATCTTTCAATTAATGGGAGAACAATTTACAGGGATTTTCAATCAAGTTTTAGAATGGTTCAGCCAAAAGCAAAACCGTTATATAGTACCATAGAGGGGCTGCTATGGTTGAGAAGGGTTGTTATTTTTGGGCATCGCACCCGCTCCTCAGAATTTACTCTGCTTATAAAAACAAAACCGCTCGTATCCAAGTTTCTCGTTACGGAGATAGTTGCAGAAATTTTTTTATTCCAGTTGAAGATTATGTCAAAACTCACATCATATTTACATATAAACACATTAAAAACTTGATATCTAATAACAGCTATGTACAATGAAAATTCTTCAATAAGAAATTATCTGGAAAATTAAGACAGAAGTGAGTTGAATTAGACTGAACTTTTTTGCACAGCAAAGAGTCGAATTAAAGACAATTATTTGCTATACAACTATCTATAACTTCCACTTCCCCACACAAGTGGAGGTCTTTTGAAATTAAGCTTCACAGGCACCGAATTAATAAATTCATACGGAGACAAATTAGATCTGTTCAGAGGACTTGAACAACTTCGTTCTCTTTCGGGTGGCGAATTGCTTCGATCAGAAACGAAATCTCTTCTGGCCGAAAAACTGTTTTTCGAATACCTCTCTCGTTCTGGAACGCATAATTCGTCACTTTCATGCTCGTTGTAAGACGATCTGAGATTTCGATCATTCGCCCAGTGCCCACTGCCAATCTCACGTTCGTAACTTCCTGATCCGAAATTGTTGTGTTCAAGGTTCGACTGCATAAAAGCTCGTTTGTCGAAAGACTTCGTTGTCTTCGGTTTTCGTCTTTCGATTCCGTATTCTTTTAGAAGCTCTTCAATGTTGGAAGGCGGTATTTTCCACTCAGAATCATTTCTGTATCGCTTCATCACCAGTTCTTCAATGGGTGGAATATATTCATTCCTAGGAGCTACAAACTCATAAGCTGAACGTTGCGGCTGATTCCGCTGCGCTGATCGCAACGCAAGCTCGTTTAAAATGACGCTTTGACCTCTTAACTCATCGTCTTTAGCTCTTTGAACCTCGTCCTGGACAATTGAAGAAATTGTATTTCGCATGTCATACGACAGACCTTGGTTCAGAGCAGCAATGTTTGGATTACTATTGCCCATATAATAATTATGCTGGCCATACATTGAAGGATAGAATCGTCCTGGAATTGAACTTTGAGCTTCAGTGCGAACAGCGGTTTCGAAGTTCTCGAAGCTTCTATTTAACAATTGAGTCATATTTGGCCCGTTTTGCTGAGGCGCAGCTGAGCCTCTATCGTGAAAGTAAATACGACTTTGTTCTTCATGATCTCTCGTGGGTGCGTGGCTGAAGTGTTGTCTATCCGGTACATGATCTTGCTCACAAGCAAAAGATTGAGCTTGGCCCTGATTGAATGCACACTGATTAGGGTAAGCATTAGGTACGGTAACTCCTCCGTGCACCGCGTCCATAGATAAATTCCTAGTGTAACTCCTCAACGCATCATAAGGCAACGTTTCTATGGCTCCTTCCACTTGATTGGTTGTTTGAACCGCAACATTTGGGAAAACTTGACGAGGAAGTGTGCCAGTGATATCTGTACCGTAGGGATAAGGTGCCGTGAATCCCATCTGCGGGTAACCATTCGAACGCTTCTGATCTTCTTTCACCTGAGTCTGGGTCGACATCGACAACTTTGAGGGCTCATATTGTGAACTTACTGACAGGTTAGTTTGCACCTGAGCGTCCAGGAGTTGATGGTTACTGTATCTTAGAGATTCCTTCGAAAGTGTCCTCGGTGAATTTTCCGGTGAGAATGCAGCAGGCAGCGACACAGTGCTTCGCTTCAATTCCGGGGTCGGGGATGATATCGTCACCGATTGTGCGACAGGTCGAATCAAGTTAGACCTATGTAGTTTATGCTGCGGTGCCGAATAAGGTCGTTCCCTACTACGTGGCAACGTACTCCCTAACTCAGAAACAGCGGGACTAGCTTCCAAAGGTGTAAATGAGGAAGTTTTCATGAGACTTTCAAATTCTGTGCTTTCCGGGGGACGTTGATATTGGTCAACTTGGCCGCTATAGTTCTGGACAGCAGCGTCTGAATTCAGCTTTCGCCTCATTCTAGCAGTAGCTATTTCGATTAAAGCAGCACTTGAGCTTGATTTCTTGTAGTTTAACGGATCCATTATGCCTCCATTTAATTTGTAAGAGCTGCTTTGAGCTGCGACTGATTCTTCGAGGCGCTGAATTGTCACCGCCAATTCCTCCAAGGTCTGTTGCGGGTGTTCCGATTCCCCTTTCTTCGCTTTCTCGATTTCAGCGTCCAAATTTGACCTGATTTCCTCAATTTGAGTTCTTGTGAACAACGTTTTTACACGTTCCAGTTCCTCGATAACAACGTCATTAGTTTCCAAAACTTCTTCTAATTCAAGCGTAAGTTGAGCTATTTCTGCCTCCTTAAGTGCCAACGGGTCCTCTGCAGTGCTTGCACGCGGAGTTCTTCTCGAGGAGCTAATTGATTTATCCAGGCTTTCGTGGCTTCCTTCCATTAATGGTTCCAATTGTGAAAAACCTTTGGAAACCACAGATGAAGCACCCGACTTGTTTTTACCATGAATACGGAGAATTTGCTCTTGCTTGAGAAAGCTGTCTCTTAGTGCGTCCATTTGCAATTTCAGATTCTCATTCTCTGATTTGTACTTGGCTAACTCGCCGTCTAAAAATTCAACTTGAGCGTTCAGAGATACTGACTCTTTATACATCGGCCCTTCCATGCTTGAAATCTCGACTCGCTGAATTTCGGATTTCAGCCTCTCATTTTCACTGCTTAGAATTTCTATTTGAGTTTCCAAATTCGTTACAATTCCATTCAAGGCTTCCATCCTTGACATGTCCTGGTCTCCAATATTTTGCAATGTCTGGGTGCTCATTTGATTATCGTTGACAGCGGATCTCAAAGACTCGCCGCGTTTCGATATGTTATCCAGCAGTTGAAATAATGGATCATTAGATGGCGATGCTCGGACTCCAATCATATGCACGGGAGTTCCGTGCGCCGATTCGCGAATCAATGACCCATTGACGCTTCCTTGGTTTAGACCCTCATTGTCCTGCGTTGCCACACCGTGGAACATTGATTCGGAGCTAAAACTGTCAAAACTTCCCCTTCGAGAGGACCGACCAGAAGTTAACCCCGGTCCTGCTTTCCGATTTGCCATGTCCTGGTCGATCTCTTGCTGCTGTTGTTGTTCAGATTCAAACACGGGAGTAGCGGTGGATGTAGTTCTACTGTGAGATCTCTTAACAGTAACTCCATGCTCCGAAACGTTCGTCGGTGATGTCGATCGTTTGATTGTCGGTATTTCCTTTTCCTTCATTTTCAAAACAGTTGGTCGGCCCGGCAACAAAGCATACTTTCCTGTCACAGTTTCATCAGTCGTGATTTCGGAAGCTGAGATCTCCGCGGGAATCAATTCTGCTCTCATAACTTCAGCGTTTGCGGACACTTCGGTTTGATTGAGCTTACACTCATATTTGTTTCGCTCACTTAAGCCAATAGGTCCGATGCTTTCATTTGACTCATTCGTACCTTCTTTTAACTCTTCGGCTTTGTTAAATTTCTTCTTAATTCCTGCATTTCGAGTCGGGGATAGGTCCACATTTCTAGAAACGGGCGCTTCTGACTTCAAAGTTCCTATATCTTCATCTGACGTATCAATAGCTTTGTTGGAAGAAACATGTGTAAATTCAGTGTATGTTGCACCTCCTGTATGTTTTAGATATTCGTTTTCCTTTTTCGATGACGCCATTCCACTGGAAGAAAATGGGTTAGTCTCGCGCTCCGTTGAAACCTTGGTCGAAAAGCTAGCTGGACCTGGTTTCTCGGAAGACATAGTCATGTTATCTCCGAATCTCGCTTGGACATTAAGAGGCGTAGAAACACTGACAGGTGCCGACTCAAGTTCCCGACGATGATCTTCGGGAACGACTATTATTTCATCTTCTCCGACATCTGACAGTGGAGGTTTCGATTCCACTTTAATCGGTTGATAGACTTCAGTTTGTAGTTCATTAGCAGCGGAGTCACTGAATGGTTCGAAGGATTTATTGCCTCCCGCTCCACTTACACTCTCGATTGATCCCTTGGCTAACATTCTCTCAGAGTGTTCCGTTCTTTCAGGCGTCCCCGTTTTGGTATGAACATCGCCGGAACTCAAAGGCATCCCTTCATTATTTGTGGCCGCATCTTTGAATTCACTTTCTAAATCTGGACTTGCTTCGTCTCCAATCAAAACGTATTCGTCACCTTCTCCGTCGATTTCGTCCTCGTCTCCTCGACTGGGTTCGTTCACCATTGAAAGGTGTTTGTCGCTGCTTACTTCATCTAACAGACTTTTTGACCTCAGTTCCAAATTCCCAGTTCGGTCTTTCTCATCATCGTCTAAATCCTCCTCTAAATTCCGACTCTGCTCCGCTCCGTCTAGAAGATCCTCCTTCGATCTTTCTTCGAGAATAATTTCTTTATCGCTGAACAAATTGTTTCTTCGACCAAATTGACTACTTGAGCTATCACTGTGGTTAAGAATATCGTACTTGCGTTTCAGCAGAGCCGTGTATATAACCAGAGCATAGTCTGGACATACGCCGTCAATCACTTCATTGGCCTTCAGTATATTCTGAGACATGCTGAGTCTATCCTCCGCGAACATGAGAGCATAAGTGAGATTCAACAGGGGCTTATCCGGTTTTGATCTGGCCGCCGAATCCGGACACACTTTGTCAATCAACATCGCTAAATTGTGACTACTTTTAAACACTGTTTGTAACTCATCTTTCTCAGGATTGACGCCACATTCTGGCATGATTTCCACAATCCAGTCCATCAGCCACAACTTCCCGTAAGCCAGACACTTCTCCTCTGGTTCCAGCTCACAGTCGCAGATGCAGAAGTGGAGCATGAGGATCCACAAGATGTCCAGCACTGCAGTCTCTTCAGCTTTCATGATTTCTTCAGAGGAGACATCAACTTCAGCCCCCTCGCATCGCAGGTAGTCAAAGAGATTTTCAATCACCTCTTTTGCCTGTGAAAAATTTCCTTTGAATATCAATTTCATGAAACAGCAAACAGTATTAAACTTGTTAAGATTTTTAAAAAACATGTTTTTCAAGATTTAAAAACTTTTTAAGCTTATATGCTGCATTTTTGGATGTAAGAGGATGCCTATGAAATAGACTTTAATTTTGCACAGAATGTTCCGACCGTAGTCTTTAGAAACCTACGGTTAAGAAAGTTTTTTTTCTAAATTAGTTTAGTTTTTTCTGCTTGGTGTGATAAGAGAATCTGACGTAAAGTCATACTAATATTAGCATGTAAGGATGTAAGAGGATGCCTATGAAATAGACTTTAATTTTGCACTGAATGTTCCGACCATAGTCTTTAGAAACCAACGGTTAAGAAAGTTTTTTTTTCTAAATTAGTTTAGTTTTTTCTGCTTGGTGCGATAAGAGAATCTGACGTTAAGTCATACTAATATAAGCAAACTGGACTTAAGTTTTTGTAGAAAAATTAATAGAAAAACCAAAAAAAAGTTCAACATTTTTTGCAGAGAACTTGAAGTTTTTGGTTCCCAAAATGAAGCTAAACAACTCCAGAAACCAGTTTTACATGCTTAAGTTGAATTTAAGGTCTTAAATTAAGCATAATTCATCTGTTGTAAGCCTGTTCGCTTGCTTTATTCGCTCAAATTAAGACAAAAAATCAAAAATTTAAAACCGGTTTTTCTCGACACTATGAAAACTTTTTTTGAAATTTTTTTAATGTTCTAATCGCGACTGAAAGGTCTTTAATATGATTTTTTACTCAACCGTGCCCGATGATTATTTGTGGTAGCTGATTTTGCGTGGAAAACAAAAAAACTAAAACACACCCGAATACAAAGTTCCTCCTCATTTTCAATGGTCGGAACAACAAGGATAGCCGGCTACTGTGCAAGTAGCACAGAATATTCCCATCACAAGCTTAAACAAATACAAAAATGAATTATCAAGTTGGTGTGATTTTTTCTGCATATTTTGTTTTTAAAAATCTGAACGAAAAATTAGAACTTTTTGAGAGTCATAGTAAAATAAGTCAATTGGAAAAAAAAAGTTAGAAATTTCAAAAAAATTTTGCGGAAACTTTCTAAATTTTCAAGTTTTTGATTCCCAAAATTGCGCCAAAAAACTCCAAAAACTACCTTTACCTGAATAAAACTAAGTTTTCACGGCTTAAATTAAGCTTAAATAAGCTATTGCAATACCTAACTACCTCACTAATTAGCTCGAAATTAGACCAAAAATCTAAAATTTCAAACCGGTTTTTCTCGACTAGGGAAAAAACATTTTAAAAAATTTTAATGTTCGAATCACGACTGAAAGGGCTTTAATATGATATATCACTCAACCCAGTCCGATGATTATTTGTGGTAGGATTTTGCGTGGAAAAAAAAGAAAAAACTAAAACACCCGAATACAAATTCTTCCCCATTTTCAATGGTCGGAACAAAAACACACCCGAATACGAAGTTCCTCCTCATTTTCAATGGTCAAAAATCACCAACAAAAGGGCAAAAATCTGACGAAAACATGCAAAGAAAAATTCACTGCAATAGCCATGCAACATCTACAGAGAATCCAGCAAATAGCTCTCCTACATGGAGCACCTTGGTACATTAACCATTTCTTATTTTCAACTTTAGGGTAAAAAATCTAGAACCCGGTGTTATACCCTTGTTATTGCAAGGGCAAAAACTGGAACAACAGGCGTTTTTTAATTCCGCATCAAAAGCATATAATACAAATCAAATTTTAAAACTAAAATCAAACAAGTTTTCGCGCGCCACATAATGAAAAGCAAATAACTTACTCAATTTGCTTCCATTTGCAGAGTGAATTTGAAGTGAATTTAACATGATTAGGACAGGCAAACAGCAAATAAATAAATCTAACCGTGATCATATTTTAAGACTTTTTTTGAAAAAAAAAAAACGAATGAAAGACCGACATGGCCTAAACAACTGTCTTGACTTCGTTCATTGACGCTTCAGAAATAGAAACAAAATAAAGCTTCATATTAGTGGAAACAATCGCTTCAATAAGGTAGAAACAGCTGTAGCATATAGGGGTAAATGCATTTTGATACACCCACCCAACCCTCTCTTAAAAGGTAAATAAGTGAATACGCAGACTAGCTTCACTCGTCACAAGCAGAATCACAAGAAAAAGAGTTTTGAAACTGGATCAATCGATAACTTTTGTATTCAGCTGAAAAATCTGATAATTTAAATCCCATTTCGAAACTAACAGTGTATCATGCTTTTCATGACCTTTGCACTTAGGCTGTTCGATAGTGGAGTTTGCCTTCCTTTTAATAAAGGAAATGAGTTGGACTTGAAAAGAAATCACAAATAAAACCTCGAAAAATCAAATTTGAGCGTGAACTAAGACTTTTTGCTGAAAACAAAATCATCGAGACCAATAAAAGAGTCTTCTCTGCGTTAATTGGCTCTTAATCAGATGTTTGAAAATAAGTTCATCTTGAAAAAAAAACAAAGCTGGTAAAAAAAACATTTCCGTTCTCCGAAAGTCTGAACAATCTTGAAATTTTTTTATTCCGCCATGAATTCTAAAACTCACGTCAGAGAACCTTTCCGCTATTTTCATTCTGCGGTACTTTTGAATGGTAAATAAAACAAAATTTGAAGAGTTAGGTTAAAGCGTCAAGCCAAAATACAGACGCAGACGCATGGGCGTCACAGACGTTTACACTTTTCTCGGCAAAAAAATCCCTCATCACTTAATACATTTTAAAAAAATTGACCCTTTTGGCACTCGTTTAGAAGTATGATCACCGAAAAAATTTCTTCGTTAGATTTAGCATTCAATTTATCTATACATATGAAACTATCAAAAACATGAATTCATTGTCAAAACTTGTAACTACCAGTTAACAACTTTTCTATCTGACTTTTAAATAGGAACATCGGTAGTTTTTGGGGCCCATACATGTAAGCGATGTTTTTAACGGGACTATACTTCTAAACGAATACCATACTTTTATAATTGAATTAACATTAAATTGCTACCTGTTGCTTGGAGTGAGTGTTATCTGCACTGTGCCATTTGGGGGTGAGACTAGACTTAGTGAGGATGTCTGCGAGGAGGCAGAGCAGTCGCCCGTCTTGGAAGTCTCTCAGACTAGCCGCACTCTCCTTCTCCTCTCGCAACACTGTATTCGCCCACCCAAGGTACACCTGACAAACATTATTACACGTCACAACTCACTTCTTTGATTAATAATGTTTTAAACAACAGGAAGCTTGCACATAATCGACTAGTGTGTCTATCGCTAAAAACTGAAACAAACTCGACTGCTAGACAATGTTCAAAAATACTTTATGGACACTTTCAGCATGAAAAATTATATTCTCGAATGGACAAAATCTTTATGACAGCCAGAAACTCGACTTCACAATTCACAAGCAACACTCGCAACTCGGTGCAACTTTTTTTGGCATCTGCATACAATTCACACATTGATTCACACGACACATGAAGAATAATAAACGGGATGATATGATTTTAAAATATCTTTCAAGAGGCTTTCTAGAGGGAATGTGAAGCGATGCGATAACTTACCATATAAAGAGTTCACACTCTAAAAAGTGAAAAGGTAAACTGATAAAAAATTAATTCATGATCAAACGTTTTCAAGTTCACGCAATTTACCACTTCAAGCTACTGATCGCGATCATAACTGTTTTTGAGTTCTTTCATCATAAGTTAATGCAATAAACTCGACTTCTTTGAAAATTCGAAGTAATCGTTTCTTGGTAATTGTTAATTACCGCATAAGCAACGCAATAAGTTGTTCAATTAAAAATACTTGACTAGCTCCCACATTTAATTTGTCAAAGGAACTTGTAACATAAGTCTAGCGAACCTTGATAACATTTTGCATCGCATTGACTGGGTTGGAACTATCTTGCTCGGCAACTTGTGATTCCATTTCTTATACTTGATACTTCGTCTTTTTCGACTTCTGATACGTCAGTAGGTAACTAACTCACTTCAGATTTTCCCTTTACACATAACTCGTCTGAAATCAAATAAGATTTAGTTAAATTAATTGTTTACACAGTGCTGTACATCAAGTTTTGGTACTATGATACGTCGTTCCTATTTTACGACGTTTAAAGGCTGATCAATTCTAAAATTTGTCTCAAAGCGCATTCGGCGCATACTTACAAATTTTATGGACAGGAAGCGAGCGCCAAATAAAGGCCAAAAAACGGCATTTTTGACACATTTTCTCAAAAGTGGGTATTGTGGCTTAAAAAGACCCTCTCCTCCGTAAGAAAAAATTCTGGATCCGTCATTGCTTTTAACTGAAATTAAGCTAATTATTCCATATAACATTAACTAAATTTTAAATGGCATGAAGACATGAAGTGGATGTTAAAATACAGTGGGGTTTTTCATGAATCTATTGAAATATGTTTCAGAAAAAGGAAGCAATGATAACTAAATGTAATCTTGAGAATTTGAATTCCGCTTTAATTTGACATGCAAGGCTTAATTTAGTTTACGCCCAAAAAGACATCAAAAAATTCATTAAATTTAAAATGCCTTGTAGCTCTTACAGTTAAATTTGGTCGCTTCTATTCAATATTTTAACGTCAAAAACCAAATATTTTTTAATTGATATAAAAAATTCAGTCATAAAAAGGTAAGAGGAAACTGAATCCCTAAAAATTCAACATTAACAAAATTAACTCATCCGTAGGCGAAGCGAAGCTTCACGTTACTTGCAATACCGAACGAGAAAATAAACTTATTGCAAAAACCATTAAGAATTAGCACACAGTCAACACCGTAGAGGTGTTGTTTATTTCCGATTTCCAGAAATTTGCTAAGCAATTAAACATCCAGCATAAAGACTTTTCAAAATTTATACAAAATTCGCAGAAAAAACTACAAAATAGGCTAAAAATGGAAACAAAATTGAGATGAAAGCCGCTAGGAAGAATAAATTTTTTAGAATCTGAAAAAAAAACAATCTATCAAAACTTTTCTATGTTTGTCTCGAATCGTTTGGAATGGATTTCATTTCAACAAAAAAATTGTTAGCACAACTGAAAACTAAATTGAAATCGACAGAAATCATTCGAAGCGGTAACAAAACCGACAATACAATACGCAAACCCGTTGAGCCGAACATTTTGTTTACAAAAAACGAACATTTAAAATCTCAAAAAATTGTAAAATCCCCTTAAAACATATCAATAATTATGGTTTTTTGCTCATCAAACGAGGCAATATGAGGCTATTAGCTCGTGATAATATAAACCGAAAGCTTTCAAGCCAAAAAAAGGAAAACAAAAAAACTGAACTTGTACTAAAATCAGAGTTGATAAACATTAACTTCGAATTGAACGGGCATTTAAAACGCAAACATGCTAAAAGTATGTCTCTGTTAGTGAACGATGTTACAGATTTTGAGATGACCACTAATTTCATTCATCTTGTGAACAAAGTTATTGACGGGAAAAGATATGTATATCACCCAATCTGTCGAAACATATATCTTTCAACTCAGACAAACAATAGATAACCCACATAAAAAAATCACACATGAGGCCAACACTTTCGTAACTTATTTGACAAAAATGCAAATGTCATTTTCAAAAAACGTCGAAAAGCTAACTTAATTTTAAAAAATATAGAAATTTGTCAATTTGTCAACATTCCGATACATTTTTCAGCCCCTCGTAGAATTTTTATTATCTTAATGATAAAAAAACTCTATTCCACGCCGATTCCAATTGAACCGTGATAATCAAACTTAGATATTTTTGAATTATAAAGAACTTTTAGCTATTTGTGCAAGAACTTGAGGAAACTGTGTGCATTTTTTCTTTTAATTTTTTTGCTTCATCGCTTTTATCTCAAAAAAACTCTCGACTTAGCATCTGACTTCGTTTTTTATCAGTCTGAATTCTAAAGATTCGTTTTCGAAGTTTTGAGAATAAAAATTGTTGCACGGTTTTGGCTAATTTGTTTATCTTACGCACTTGGCAAATAACGAACACTTTCAAAAAACACATTCCGGATTTTTGTTTTGAGTCAACAGAATTTTTTAGGCTCCAATTGCATGTAGTTTGTTGTAATTTGATCACGGCTTAATCAAAATTTCTAGATTACTGGTGGAACTTTATTTTTGGGTATATCGATATTTGTTTTCGATTGTATAAGAACTAGTTTTCAAGGTCATTTAAAAAAGTCTCCCGCCTTCTACTTTAGATAAGTTGCCAATGTGACAAAATTGCGCCACAGTTTCTTAAAAATAGATTCAGCTTTTCTTATAATATCATCAATCTCTATTCGCCAAATTAACACTCCATTTATCCCTTCAACTTGATCAGGACTAATAGAGTAGTACAGGTAGTACAGGTAGTCTAAGGTAGTACAGCCATAAAACTTAACTACATGCCTCTGATTTTTGGTAACTACACAACTATTTATGAGCTCGTTAATTTCTTTCGTCATCATCGCATTTTTATTCAAAAAGCTTAAAGCTGAAATTTTCAAAAAAAACTTTGATGATTTCATTGACGCAGTGCAGTGTATATAGATCAACTTTTCGTAAAAGCTTTTACTGCTTCAAAAAACTTCGAGAGTTTGAATTAAATCTACAAACTAAAATCTAAATTACTAGCTTGTGGTTCGAAAGTGAACTTAAACGAAATATTCTTAATTTATAAATTGTGCTAGTCTTTGGACAATCATTCGAATAACAGTAATTTTCATTTGAGTATCGACAGGGAATATCCCTTAGTTTAATTCTCAAGGAAGCTTGTGATAAAGCATACGGATAAACCCATGATGAAGCGTAAGTTAAACCGAATATGATTTTTACAATCATTGTTTCAAAAAAAATAAATACCGAGGGGAAGCTGAGCTTCACACCACCTGCGGTAGAAATATATCAACTTATACGAAGAAAAATGGAACACTAAATGAGTGAAACTTATTCTACAGTTTGTTCGTATCTTAAGCAACGATATGCGCTTTACTAAATGCATTGAGAAATTAACGAGGTAAAAAAATTATTCAAAATAATAGCAAAAGTATAAAACAAATTAAACCCGATTTTTGAATATCTTACAAAACCTAGTTTTGGAAAAATTGTATCTTTTTGATTGCGACTGAATAATCAAACTTTATTGGGACTAGCTATGATCGCGTGGAAAAGATCCATTCTAGAGCACAGTTTCTTCCCTCCCACTGGTGACAGTCGGAACAAATATTTCCAGTGTCCAACAATAAAATCTATTGAGAATTTCTGGTGCAACAAAAAAACCTTTTCCAACAAACAACTGGTCCGCATACCATTCCTAACAAGCGATGATTTGTAAAAAGCGACAAAGAGAAACATATCTTAAGGCGACTATACATAACAGGCGATATTTCCTAACTAGCCAAATTGACTGGCGAATAAGTTTCAAGCAATTCATTGGCAAGTACCGACCGTTCGCATGAGGACTGAAATGGCTTTAAAAAGATCTTTTCTTTCGGGCATCCGCCGTTCAATTGTGGTGCCTGATTTTGCAGCTGCTTAGCGAAAACAAGCGAAAAACGGCTTAAAAATTACAAAAAAAAATTCTGAGAACATCAGTTCTGAGAACATTCGGAAATAATCGGTTCCTGATTTTGCGTAAAAATATGCATTCGAGTACCAAGTTTAAAGTGCGGGACAAAAACGAGCTTCATTATTGCATTTGCTGTTTTTAGCTAGCAATACTTTCAATTCCGCTGGTTTCATTGACCTATGACCTATGTTGAAAACATTGACCTGTTCTTGACAAAACAATTCTACTAAAAAATCTCGCAAGCGCCTGATTGTAGAACTTGAGATAAATGCTGAAATTAAGAAAGGGAAAAACATTGGTTGAATGACTAGATAAATTTGCTTCAGTTCAGTAATAACCAATTAAACCCAGTTTCAAAAACCAAATGAGAAAATCAGTCAAAATTGTACATCGGAGAATGAAGAGGGAAAAGTTAAGTTGACTGACTGGGCAACATGACCCGAAGAAAAAAGAACCCACTTTCGGGCAAACACCTCATCGTCCCCGGTCGAACACTTGGCAGTTTTATCTTCCTAATATCCAATCCAATTTCCCTTTCCTTTGTCTGTAAAATAAACATCCCCTAAATCAACCACCTCTCTTGTTCACACCTCACAGACTCGTGGGAAATTTATGACTCCTATCTATGCGATTAAATATATTTATGCCCCCAATTCACTTCGCATCCGTTTTGGCATATTTAAGATCAGATAACCCAGAATTTTTGCCTAATCGGGAAACAGACCAATTTAGGGGGCGAAAAAACCACACCATAAATCACTTTTACAGCTTTTTCCGTTAGAAGATAGCCCAGAAAACCAGAAATATATGTGCTTCATTTCTTCGTCTATCTGTTCCAGATTGAATTAACCAACTGACTTCGACGAAAAAATCTAGTCAACGAAAAGAAGAAACCAATTCAACCATACCATCAAGATGACAAGTTTCAGCGCAGCTCAAATGATCGCCTCAGTTCTTTTATTCGGTAAGATGATTTTCAACAAATTAATTTCTGAACTTTTTTATAATTAAAATGAGCTGCTGATTTCATGTCATCGCAACTAGCAATGCCTTATATTCCGTATGTTTCAAACTTCAATCTAATGGTATCCGTCTATGTTATGGTCTTTTATCCGTATTCCAGACAGGGCTGTCATAGTGTTAACTTGAATGTTTTTAACATGTTGATTATATGAAAAAAAAACACGTAAGAAACAAAATTGAGTTCTAAAATCACTCATTGAGTTGTTCAAAGAGAAAAACCAGCTTTCCAGCCTACTCGACGCTGAAAGAACTTCAGATTTTTCCATAGGTGACTCCGAGAGTTGAGAAACACCGCTCCACTCCAGCAGTGGAGGAGATAGCATTTGCCTAGCCGACCAATTTTTTCGATGAAATACGAAAAAACATCTACATTCGAATTGAAAGCTCGAATTGTTAAAAACGATGTGTTAATAACGTGTAAAATATAAGTCTGTTAATAACACCTTGTTAACAACATGACAACCCTGATTCCAGATAAGGGAAAATCGGCACTGATTTCTCCAACAAAAGCAATACAAAAAACTTTACAAAATAGCATGGCCACGTTTTTTATCGATTGAGTGATGTTGATAGAAAAAAACAGTAACTTAAACAAACTAATAAATTTAATAACGAACTTTTTTTTTAATAACGAACCAAAACTATCAATCTCTCAAGGTATTCAATCTCTTAAAGACACTTATTGCTAGCAAAATTATGACTATAGTCATCAATTTTCTCGAGGGGGGCGCATTTTCAACAAATAATAGACATTTTTGTCGACCTTTTTTTGAAAAAAAAAAAATTGGCACAAATACGTTTTACGCACTTTTGGAAAGTTTTAACCAACGAAATTGCGTTTTTCAGCGCACTACCTCTCTAAATTCGTATATATTGGTTGGAAACTAAATTTAGGTGAATCAAACCCGAAACTTTTTTGCTCAAATATATTATTCAACTGTTAAGTACTCTAGAATGTTCAGCATAAAGCATTAAAATGACCTGCGGCAACTAAGTCAACTAAATCGGTAAATGAAATGCATCAAAAACTATTAAGGCTAAAATTACCTTACTTCCATCAGAAAATAAAAGAACAGTAAATTATTTCAAAAGCAAACAACCGCGGGAAATGATTAAATAGAGTGGTTTATTTGTCGATTTTCAAAATAGAGTGGTTTATTGTCACCATCGCATCTGAAGTAGATCAGTCAACAAAAATCTGTTATCACTCATACTTTGTTCTGATAAACAAGTTACAATCAGGAAAAAGTCGAGAACCTGATATGATAACGAATTTTTTCCCTTGAAAAAAAAATATATTTTTTTTCTCCACATTGAAAAATGTAGTCCACATTTCACCGCAAGTGGAATCACGACAAAAATAGAAAACGAAAAATCACTGGACCCCATTTGATTCAATAATTTGCGCGCAAAAAAGTTCGCTGTACTGATCAAATTAATACTTGGAGTTATAAACACGCCAAACTGCATTTGGTAAACAGGTGAAAAAACGTTGAAAACAGGTTAAAAATAAACAAGCGAATCTGCACTTCGCTAAAAACACCAGCAACAAAACGGAGACAAGTCATTTGCCTTAACCGACAAGTCAATGCTGCTTTGGCAACACTATTATAACCCAAGCGAAAATAGTAAGACTAGACAGTTGCGGCGCACAGAAACTGCATTCCGACTACATCAAAAAAAATTAATATTTTTTAATGTTGTTCAAGTTTGTGTCGTTTTTTGTGCATCGTGTGATGACAGAAACCAGACAAAAAAATGCCATGGTTCTGATGTCAAAAAACTCGTTATTTACTCATAATTTTTCACAGAGACCAAACCTGGCATCACAAACAAAAATAGCATTGCAAGCTAGCAAGCAGAAAATGATAAGAAAATCACCTAGTCCCATTTTTTTTTTAAAAATGATGATCAATATGAGAAAACACGCTCAGCAACACAATCGCCGGCTATTACTATGAATAAAGTATCCTTGGCTCTTTTTCCTCCTTCTCCTCCACGCCCCACCTCACATGAACATAATTTTTACACAGAGGCGCTTCGCAAACAACACTGGCGAGAACACAAAAAAGCAGCTTTATAAAGTGAAATATGAAAAAATAGAAATAAGAAACTATTTAGTAAAACTTTGCTACGTATGGGCTTCGAACCTGCGACCTCGAGAATTGGAGTCTCACACCATTTGAGTCTAATAACCGGCAAACACTAGTCACAAATAAAGCAGCTACATATGCTAACAAATTGGCAATACTAAGCAGCAAAAATGGCACCAAATAGAAATAGACACTATTTTGCAAGTAATAATTTGAATTATAACAAATTGAAGGCATCCACACTAATTTTGCATGTAATAAATTGGAAAGCATAAAGCAACATTGTATAAATTATGCATTTCAAAAAATTGCAAGTTATATTGAGTTTGAAAATTGCTGAAATCGAGTTTTATGATTGTTGTCGTTTGAAACAAATAATTTTTTTCGGTTCATTTGATGAATTCAAAATGTTTCAACTGTGTTAACTTTTTTCCATTCGATTGTCAAAACCTTTATCAAAAAACCGTAAAGGTGCCCTAAAATGGGAACCAATATTTGGGACTTAGGTTAGAAAAAAAGAATAGTCGTAGTATAACACTAACACTCACTAAAGTTCGCTAGTGTAAATAGTGTAATGAGGGGTTTAACAAGATCAAATATAAAGAACTAATAGGTTTGTCAGCATACCAATTTAAATAACAATCGATCAATGTGAACAGGAAAATTCGATCAAAGAAAAAAATTTACTAGTGAGGGGAAAAAGAGAGCCGTAATATTTATCGAGAGGCAACTATGTCGACAAAAATACGTAAAAGACAACAAAAATGTGGTCATTAAAAACTTTGAGCTATGAAGTTCTGATACTCTCAAACTAAACGCCGTATTTTCTCTTTCAAACTACTCAAAATTAGGTGAATAAGCCGATAGAATATAAGCCAAAACCAAATCGGCCGAATGAAGCATATGAGCGAAAAAAAAACTATACCAAGTCAGGGGCTTGAAAATTTACAAATTACAAAAATCAAAGAGAATTCATATTAAAATGAAATTGCTGTGATGCGCCAACTAAGCCCAAACAGGCATGCAGAAGATAGGCCGGCATTTTTTGTATTAGGAAATTTTCAGTTTCAAAAACAAATAGGTCATACACGGAATCGACACTGTGAGCTTTGGCATCCTTCTAGGCTAAGTTTGCCGCAGAAGCTAAAGAATTTGAATTGGATATAAATCAAGCTATCAATTGATTGAATTAATTTTGTTGTTACCAAGCTGTTAACCTAAAAAAGTAATTGCGACTTGAAAACTCTTGCAAATCGCAAGCGTTACTAAAATTGCATTCGGATAATGGATAAAACAGAAAAATTCAAGTTTCTTCTTGAATATTTTTGAAAGGTCCAAAAACACTCCGCATTGCCAAGGAAGCATTAAATTATTCAAAACGGTTTTTCCAACGAAATCGAAAAGGACTTTTGTATAATACTTCACTCGGCATTTTTGGATGATTATTTGTGGTACCTAATTTTCCGTAAAGAAAAATATTTTAAAAAACTGTAACACAGCTAGAGATAAGTTTCCCACCCAATTTTAGTGTCAGAACGACACAGCTTCCCCAAACATCCGATATGTCAAACATTCGCTGTGTCAAACATCCGAACTTAAATATTACCTGTCAAAAAATGACGCTAGAGTTTCATAAACCAGAGGCATAGTTCAACTGTCCGATTTGAATCACGGTTTGTGGTCGCGGTTGGCTCGCTACGTGCGCGTCGCCATTTCGCGACGAAAATTGGCTCTATTTTTCATGAGAGTCCCATTCTCTGCTGGCAAGCTCGCAACAAGTTGACACGGCTGCGGCGCTCCATCTTCATTACAGAATCTGTTAAGCGAACGGTAGAAATCTTGCCCTATTTTTTTTCACAAAATGTGGGATATTTGCCCTAGGCAAGCTATTTTTCGGATGTTTGACATATGGGATATTTTCGACACCCGTGCGCAGTATTTATACCGTATTTATCACCAATTTTGTTTTCAAACTATTATCAGAAGGCAATGAATGTGTCAAATTCAAGCTGAAACAAGGCTAAATGAAAACATAGCCAATCGAAGATTGGAAGAGTAATGAACGCAAGTAAGCATAAAAAACACTTTGTTGAAAAAATCTCAACTTTCGAATTTCAAAGAAAAATAATACATGCCCTTCAAGTTCTTTGAATTTCCAGAACAATTTATGACAGGCAATTTTCTGATAACAATAACCCAACTTAAGAACTGGATCAACAGGTAAAGTTTTTATTCCGCTGGAAATCTAAAAATTAAATTTCGCTTTCGAAACTAGAAATCGTTCACGAACTTTTGTGCCATTTGCACGTTCGTATTTGGAGAGTGCTATTTACGTCAACTTCAGCATATTTCAATTGAACTGAATAAGTGCATATATAGAAGTGCATCAATATTTTGAGACTTTTTCCTGAAAAAAAAATCAGCAAGACCTATATAAGAGTCTTTACTACGTTCATTACTCTTAATCACAAAATACAAACTTAATTGCATGGACAATATACGATAACTGGCTTTGATTTCCATCTAGTCCTATTCTTTCCAAATATTAACTTGATTTCAAGAACAATATACGATAACTGACTCTAATTGTCATCCAGTCATATTCTGTTAGCCCTACGTTAGCACTACTACAACGATCCGTATTCATTCGAACACTACAGCATGTTAAGCAAACTGTAGAAATTGGGTATTTGCTTTACATTCCAAATACTGTCGGATGTTTGCCCTAACGAAGCGGTAACTCTGAAGTTTGCATCACTTTTCGAATTTTCAGATGTTTGACAGACATATCGGATTTCAACACGTTACCAGTATTTATTGTATTTAAAACAATTTTTATACACTATTAGCTGGCAGTAAAGAATTCCTCGAAGTACAGCGGAAAAAGTGCTCATTGAAATCGCCTAACTTAAACTGCATGAACAAAATTCCTACTTCGGTTGTTTGTTAGGGTTAAAGTGCGAATGCCTAGACGGAAAACAACCATTTAACCTTAAAAGCCCGCGGATCGACTTCTACCACTAAACCACTAAGGCCTTAATACACTTTCAGCACTTTTAAGGAGCGGGTATAGCTTGTGACATTATATAGCCCAAAAGATACTCAACTCTACTCAGAACTGTACACAACGGCACCTAACTTGGAACGTAGACTCGTATTATACAAAGCTGATTTAAAATACCCGGATAAAAAGAACAAAAGTTGAAATTAAAAACGCGTTTTTCTTAAATTCAGTTGATTTTAAACCAAAATGATCAGTCCGTCCTTGCTTAAAATTTGAACAGAATTACTATAGTGCAATTAGTTTTGCAAAGTTCAGGCCCAAAAATTTACCCCAAAACCATCGTTTTTGGCTTTGTTTAGTTAGTCAGAAATTCTCCAAGCCTATGTTTATTTACCGACGAAACTATCACTGTAAGCCTCTTATGTAGCCCGCCAAAATTTAAGGGTACATTTTATCAGTTTTGTATAAACATATTTATTTTCGTTTACAAGCCAAAAAATGTCAAAACTATTATATAAAATGGGTTAAAAAGGCTGAGGCAAAGCCGAGTTCTGTCTAGAAATTTACTGATAAAATTAAAATTGTAACATTGTCATCCAAACCTTTTAACAAGACTATGACTTAAAGTTTCGAAGTAATTCTGACCTTGAGACAAGGAAATCGCGTGAAAACTCTTATCGAAATTTTGGAGAATTTAAGTTTTTGCGTTATTCTGAAATTGAAAAACGTTGAAAAAAGCACAATTGAAAAAAGTTTTCATTCAACGATGTGCCATGCAATTTTTCAGAGCAAAAAAAAATAAAGTATGTTCTAGAAGTATTTTGATTCAGTTGAAATTTGACGGTCATAATTATTTCAGAAATGTAATACGTTGCCCGTTTTTTTGTTATAGAGAGTTGCAAAAAGTTGGAACGGACAAAACTAATTAGAGAGCAAATAACTTATTTCTGAAAGCTTTGGCATGCAAAAGCTGTGTTCAGACAGAAATGATTTCTCAGGTGACTTAAACTTCGATTTAGCATGCAAAAATTGATCAAAATTGGCAGATTGCTCTTTCTGTCTATTCCAATTTTTTGCTACTAGCTACAAAGCTATAGAACGGTGGCTAAGTCCTGCTGTCTCTGACACCGGGCTCTCCACTACATGCAACCTGCCAGAATTTTGCAAACACTTAACCTTTACAAATGTAGTTAAAAATGTAGTTCTTAGGGTAGGTACCATTAAGCCATTCTATAATACTTATGATTCCTAATTCTCACGTGACTACTCAACCCAAGCGAGGAATCATTATAAAGAGAGAATTAGAAATGCAAAACGATTTAATTACAGGCAGTAAATAAGATTCGTTGCTTTCTGAAAAACCAAAATGTCTAAATCGCTTACAATTCTTCCCATATCCGACCGAAAACAAGCTGACACGAAATCAGCACCGACATTGTGGTCGATACTGAAAGTCGACTAACGTGAGAGTTTCGACCGGGGGGAGTTTAATTGCCAAGGAAGTTCTGTTAAATTTAAGGAAGGGATGGAAGTCCTTTTCTTTCAGCTCATTTTCAAAATATTGCACCGCAGCCAAATTTTCAATTTCTTAGGCTTTTACCGACTGAAAAGCTTTGACCGCTCTCAAAATTAAACATGGATAACGTATATTGGGTAGTAATGCTCAAATGCTAAAAAGGCATTTTCAAATTTGAAACTTCGCCCAATCTCAATTCATTTAATTAAAAATTGTCCTGTGTTTCGTATATTTGGTAGAAGTTCTGACTTCCTACAGACTCAGGCGTAATCGATGTACTTATTTTCATTAATACTGAACATGAAAATCGACATCTTCCGGAATGAAACAGAATTTTATGATTAATACAAGGGTCACCTAAACAAAAGCATATTGATATTTTTTATTAGTTAATCACTCAGTGATCAGATCAGTATTACAGCAAGCATCATTATGATCAAAATATAATTTCATATCAATCAATCCTACTTCACATTTCCCGTAACTAAGGGTGGTTGGTTGTTAAATATTCGTCTCAGATGACCCAAAATGATCACGCGAAGAAAGCGTGAGGGGAATGAACTGTTGTGCAGGTGCAATATAATTGTTCACTGTCGTGTACAGAAGTTTTCACTCTCCTCTCAGACTTTATTCGTAGATGTATTTGTCTTCTCCGCAGTCCCACGAGACTACTCCCTCCTTGAACCAGAGGGCGATTTCCTTGGCTGCACTGTCTGCGGAGTCGCTACCGTGGATGATGTTTCTGCCGATGTCGATCGAGAAGTCTCCTCGGATAGATCCAGGGAGTGAAGCCAGAGGGTTGGTCTCACCCAGCATTACTCTACCTTGCTTGATGACGTCTTTACCTAAACTCTTCGAATTTAATTCAAATAACCTTTCACAGCCATTTCTACTAATGATTTGTTGCGTTAATGATAGAAATTCATATGGAACTTTCACCTCCTTTTCGAATACTCAGTCAACTTAAATGGTTCCTTAAATTCGCTCTCACCAATTGAAGTGAACTGTTTTGCACTGCAATCTTACCTTCCCAGACCATGGCTACGACTGGTCCACTTGATACGAAGTTGACCAACCCGGCGAAGAAGGCCTTTCCCTTCAAATCCCCGTAGTGCTGTTCCAGCAGGGGTCCATCAGCCTTCATCATCTTCATGGCGACCAGTTTGAAGCCTCGCTTCTCGAATCTAGCGATGATCTCTCCCACTAGTTTCCTCTGCACACCATCGGGCTTAACCATGATGAAAGTCTTCTCGTGCGTCATATTGTTTAGTTTAAGGATGTTCACTAAAGTCAATTAATCAATTTCAGGTCAAACTGCGATTGCACACAAACAACTCACTTCTGAAAATTTAGAAGTAATTTTAGAAATTTGAAACAAATTAAATTAACAGGTCACAATGAAGACGGTTTGTTAGGTTCGAGGTCGGTATAACTAAACTTAGTGTTTTAATCTCGAAAGTGACTTCGACTGTATTGCAATCAATACCAGCAAACAACCTAGAGATTCACTCCAGCGAACTGCAAATTCGGCAGAGATAGCACGAAATTGAATGAGAGATATTGATATTATTACCTATTGATTCTCTCAATTTCGAGCTAGGTTCTCAATGACATGAATTGAACATTTGATTTGCACTCTCTCTTTGGTACATATTCCTAGAGCTCAGCCATTTATATCCCAAACTACATCCCACCCTCTGGCATTGCAGCACATTTCTTTCAAGAAATTATTTGACTACATACTATTCAAACTAAGTCTAAGAAAATAGTCTACTGTTTTTGGCTATGTTTGAATAGTTTAGTAAGTGTTTAAAAAAACAATGATACCAAAAAAAAGTTGATTGAAATTTTTTAATTTCAAAAAAATATATATCACGTTGAAGCTATTTGAATTGAATTTCAATACTGTTTATGATTGGAATTTTTTTCTGAAAGTTATCCCATATAGAGAAAACTAGGATCACTGGTAAATTATTTCATTGCGCTTAGAATTTTTAAAACTAGAAGTTATTCTCGGTTTTCGTGACCTTTCCTGCTGTCCGATAGCGGAGTTCGCCTTCATTTAAAAAAGGAAATGAACTGAACTTAAAAAGAAATCAATAGCCAAACTGTGAAAAACCAAATTTGAGCGTGAACCATTTTCAACTTTTTCCTGGAAAAAAAAAATAAACAAAAAATCAGCAAGGCCAGACCCATATAAGTGTAATCAGTTCGTTCTTTAAAAAAAACCTACTGAGGAATTTTTCCTCACAAACTAACAAACCTGAGCTCTTTAATACTACATCCAAGCTACTTTAAAATACTTGACCGAAATTGTATGAGTCAGTTTCGCAACACGAAAAGTCACAATTTTGAAAACAAAACAGGAATTCAGAAGTATACAAAAGTATCTCTTTTATATGCAAAAGAGATTTAATTATATAGCTGAATCTAACAGAAACAATACTAAATGCAACAATAATGGATAAGATAATTTCAAGTACACAGGAAGCGAGACAAAAACAATGTACACTAACCAATAAAGAATTGCTGTAATATTGAGACTCAATTTTTTCTTCCCAGTTAACACTACTTCTGACCGAGATTAATCTTGCTTCAATAATTCAAGTTTTCTCCTGTAAGAAAGTTTACCAAATAAATGAACTGTTATTTAATCCCCCAGGATTCGTTGTGCTAACTAGGTCAGCAACTAATAACTTCGAACTGTTTTTAGGCATACTCCTTTCACGGGCTGCTGTGTCTGCGGACGCCTTAAGCTGCGAGGAGCTCACAACCTCCAACCTGATTGACGTAATGCGAGTCATAAATGATTTCTGCCTGGCGGTGCCCGATAGCACAGTGTACTTCAAACACGCCCCCTTGACAACTACGGAGACAGGGGCGGTTGAGGGCGAGCAGAAGACGCCTGCAATCAAGAACGTGATCGAGGCTATCAAGAAATGGAAGGGAGAGGAAAAGCGAACAGCCAACGACAAGAGAACCGGAATGTTCCACTGAGGAACGGAGCAGGAACTAAACCAAGCCAGTATTTATTAACTATACCATATAACTTTAATTCTTAATGTCCTCAAGTACTTGTGTTAACTCGGTTGAATATTATAAAGACAGTTTAATAGTTGCTGGGAATCCGTTTCTCTATGAGTTTTGATTAAGTTGGAAGCAAACAAATTGCCCAACTTCAAAATTTGAAATTGAATGAACCTGATAACAGCTTTCAAATAACTATATCAATATCACATTTACATTTACAGAATCAAAACTATCTACTTAAAATAGACATAACGCATTTAGGGTTTTCGCAGGCGTGTAAGCCAAAATAAAAATATGCATATTATGTTCGGTAGTTTCCCTGGTACCCTAGTCAAAACCGAATTGCAATAAAACAAGAAATAAACTGAGGCTTTATTACAAAGTAAACTTCTAGAGTGCAGATTGACTTTACGAGATACCCGAGGCAAGAGCCAGGGTCCCTGGTAAATAAAACAAGAAAGCATGAACGCGAACTTTCTACACATTTTAGCGCCAACTGTTCCAAGCCTCGAAAACACTTCGAAAAAACTTAAGTATCGCATAATTATCAGGAAAAAAATGATTGTAAAACTGATCAAAATACACTGCAAGTAAGTCGACGAAAAGGGGGACGAAGTCCAAACAGTCAACTATTTTGACTTTTAGCTCTAGATGCAAAAAAGTCTAGTGAACGATTTCAAACCCTTGCTTATTGCAAGGGTAAAACACAGAGGCGAAGCGCAGCTTCGCAAACACTAGCAAGAAAACGACAAAAAAAGCAGCTCTACAAGTAAAAGATAAGAGCATAGAGGCGAAGCAGAGCTTCGCATCACTTGCGAAACAATGCAAGCGCAGCATTACAAGTTTGCGAACAGAAAATGGCATGTAAATAACAATGGCATGTAAATAATAACAAACAGCAAAGAATAAGTTTTCAGATGTTACGAGCAACCAGAAAGTCAACAATACTTCTATTAAGCTAAGCAAAAAAAATGCCATAAGAAATTATTGTCATAAAATTTTTGGCAATTAAGTTTTGAAACTGTGAAATTTGCTACATAAACTACCTGAATTTTTTAAAAAAAAATCACCGTTTTCTGCACTTGACCGACACAAAATGAGGTTAACTGAGTCAATAAAATATAAGCCGAAACCATTGAGGCCAAAAAACCTTTTAACCAAAAAACATAGCCAATCGAAGATTGGAAAAGAGTAAGGAACGCAAAAGAGTAATGAACGCAATAAAACAAAAAAAACACTGACTTTGTTGACAAAATCTTAACTTTCGAATTTCAAAGAAAAAAATAGAAGCCCCCTTCAAGCTATTTGAATTTCCAGAAAACAATTCATGACTGGTACTTTTTTGATATCATTAACCCAACTTGAGAAAACTGGATCAAAAATAAAATTCCACTTTCGAACTAGAAATTGTTCACGTTTTTTTGCTCCATTTTCACGTTTGTATTTGGAAAATACTATTTAAGTCACTTTCAGCAGATGAACTTCAAATGAACTCAAAAAGTTCATTATATACCTAAGTGCATTCATAAGTGCATTCGCTCCATTTTCACGTTTGTATTTGGAAAATACTATTTAAGTCACTTTCAGCAGATGAACTTCAAATGAACTCAAAAAGTTCATTATATACCTAAGTGCATTCATTTTCCTGAAAAAAAAACAAAAAAAAATCAGCAAGACCTATATAAGAGTCTTCCTTATGTTGATTACTCTTTTAAAAAAAAAACTTTACAAAGACAGGGCTATTAATGCTAAAAGTTGCCTGAGTAAATCAAAACACTGGCATCTACGATGAAAATTGTTGAAAGCACAGGCATATTTCGCGATGTGGCTCGAAAGTCGACAAAACATACGCAGACAAACGAAAGTCCAACCGTTCAATTTTTCCCGTAAAAAAATTCAATTTCATACATACTGAAAAAACAAGGCCTAGCCAGGTCTCAAACCCCAGACCTTAGGGTGCAAAGGCAACCATGTTACCTCTAAGCCAGGTGGAAAGTTCGCTCGAAGTTGCTGAGGCTCACTTATACAGTAGCTCCAATTTTTAACAGATTTGTAAGAAAAGTTGTTAACGGGGAAAAAGTCTAGGTCCCAATTACAAGACACTAGGAAGTGTAAATAAGCCGCGAATTAATAGAACTTTTTCTACGTGTCGGATTCGAAATAGCGATCGCCCTTCCTTTCCTGTCACGGACGCTCAACAATAGTCAAAAACTGAATACAAATAAAGCACAAAACAGATGCTAAGAAATTTGCAATTCTACTGATCGTGATTATAGCAAGTACCCCCAAATGAGCACTTTTAGAAAAAATTCTGCGAAGGAACTCATCAGTCATCTTTTTTAGCCCCAATGTATGATTTTTTTCAAGAGTGATAGTGTGAAGTCATTGAACTTTACAGAGTAAGCTTGATTCGTTTCCAAAGCGCTCGAGATACCTTATGTGAGAATGATTATCTTAATCTAAACTTATTGATGAAAACCCTTTATCCTAGAGCTGCTACGAACAACGTCAGCCTTAATAATTCAAACATTGACGCAGAGGCGAAGCGGAGCTTCGCACCATTTGCCACACACTGGCAAACTTCTATTTTCGCTCGTCAAACGACGCAATATGAGGTAATTAAGCCGATATTTTACAGGCCGAAACCTATCAAGCCGAAAAAAAATGAAATTTTATTATATCGAGTCGGTGAAATACAACCAAGAAAAAAAAGCAAATTTCGAATAGAGGGATGGTTAAAACGCTAACTTGCACAAAATTTGTCTTTCGCAGTAAGTTTGTTGCTAACATAGATGATTCATGTGAAAAAAGTTATTTACGGGGGAAAAGTCTAGTACCCGATTGCTAGTATTAGTCAGATAGACACAAATGAGCCTGGCACAGCCGGAATAGCCAACAAACGGATATAACCCTGAAAAATTACGAGAAGCACAGCTGTTATAATTTGTTAGCCGAAAGTGGCAGCTGCCGAGCGAGAAAAAATCCACAGACAAATGAAAATCACCAACGACGACCCAATGCATCAAAAACCGAAAGTCGGCAAAACTAACAGCAAGCACAATCTCAGAACAATTGATGGCCCTGAAGGGGCTTGAATTAATTTCCGTACAATCAAAACCGACAATGAGAAAACCGAACAGGCGAACAAAGAACTCTTTTCTCCACGAGAAAAACAGTAGATCATACAAAACAGCTTTGAACGAGCTAAGCGATTCGCAACACTCAAAGATGGGACTTACTGATAACGCAGATAAAAAACCCGTGATTTGATTAGGTTGTTCTCGCTAGAAATCAAAGCGAGAAAAACCAAGGTAGTAACAAATGAGTTTTCTGGTGAACGAAGAACAGTGTGACAAAAAGCCTTAAAACTGAAATGGTTCACCAGTTTTTCAGGCGCAGTTTTAAAATTGATATCTTAATGTTTTCCTTTTGCGTATTTTGTGACATCAAATTCTGCTTTTAAACACCGAAATTTATGGCAGTTCGTTATTCGTTGACTTGTAATTTCCGATAATTACGATTTATTTACGTATGAAATGAAATGTTGTCAATTAGCCAGCTACCCAAAACCGATCTACCGCAGAACCGAAGCGAGGCAGAAATAGCATTGTCTACAAAATGGAACAGGGATAGCCGGTTACTGTGCAACTGGCACAGAATGTTCTGACTATCGTCTTAAAAAATACTACGAATTTTTTTTCTTCAAATTATTGTCGTTTTTATTTCGCGTGGTGTGATAAAAAAAGAGCTGAACAAAAACTGGAGATTAGATTATTCGACAGTAATAGTAAAATAAGCAAATTGAAAAACAATTTTTCAAAAAAATATACTTGAAAAATGAAAAAAAAAAATGAAAATATTTTTTTCAACTTTTGCAGTTTTTTTGAAAATTTTGATTCCAAAAAGGCGCTAAAATACTCAAAAAAACTAATATGTACATCGTTGAACAAATTACTCTCTAGCTGAAAAAAAATCCGACCAAAAAAATCAAACTAAAAATCTTGGAAGGAATTTTGCAATTATTGTTGGTCTCGAATGATCAACACTCAGGACACGAGAAAAGAAGTCTGGCGAAATTGTCATCAATGACTATAAAACGCCGTCGATTCGACACACTTTACTGTGCAGTCTAAATGGTTGTAAATTAATTTGCTATCATAATTTATCATTGCAGCTAGGTTCTATCAATTAGCACTTCTTATCCTCAAGGCGGCACACCGAGCACTTACTCCTGGAATCTTTTAGATGCTTTCAAGCTAACTAAAAATTGTAGTTAAAAGCTTTTGCCCCTTGACTTATCAGTCTTAAGCATTATAGCTCGATACTCAATGATAGACAAGACAGCAGTAGTCTGTTTCACTTTTAATTTTTCTAACTGAATTATGGTAACTTATCCAAATTAAAACTCAACCATCCACGATATTTCTTCTTGAGACTGTGTATGACGTTCCTGAATCATCTCGTCCTTTTCACAAGATAAATTTCATTAAGTCATTTAAAAGCAAATCCATTATTAAAGCGAAAATCGATCATTTTATTCATGACAACATTGAAGAATATGGATATCTATCATTTAAGATTAATGAATTCACTTTGCTACTAAATAACTTCAAGAAAATTCCTTTAACGAGCTATGTGACAATTAAGAAGAAACGCAGCCAAATAAACTATTTCATTCTTGCACTAAATCAATCCGATTCGATCGACGGTTGATAAAAAGAAATGATAGATCTGAATCAAGCATCCCTCAGTGCAAGATATGTCTAGCCGCTCGAATATGATAAAAACCATTAAAAAACTTGACAGTCGATCGCTGGATTATATTTTTTTAGCTCGTGACTAACATACATCAGACAGGATTCTGACATACCGACCCTCTCTGACAACGTTTTTGTAACGAAATTACTCCATATTGACTAATTGGATCAACACACCGGCAAAGAAAGCCTTCAAACGCTTCAGCCCCCTGAAAAAAACTTAAGATCTGGAAAGAAATATCGAAACAGAAGCTTATCAGAAAAAACACACATAAAGGCAAAGCGCAGCTTAACAATGAAAGACTATGATATCAAGCAACTGAAAAAAAAACAAATCAATAACTGAAAAAAAAAATCGTTTTTTGTTTAAAAAAAAATAAAAATTGCACAAAACGACCAACAATTACTGGAACAAAAATAACTGCACCAATACAAACTTTACAAAGGGCTTTCAACAGCTAAAAAAACCTAACCTATC